GAGAGAGAGAGAGAGAGAGAGAGAGAGAGAGAGAGAGAGAGAGAGAGAGAGAGAGAGAGAGAGAGAGAGAAAGAAATGGCGTCGCAATTGGGTGTCGCTTAGGGGGGGCTGCGATGTCGTTCCTCGACTGCCATCGTTTCAAATTGACGTAAATGTTATGAGAGCCCTCAAATGTGTGCGCAAAAATGTGTGTGTCTATTGTGGATGTTATGTTTCATGATTGCGGTGGTTGTTTTTTGGAACTTCTCTATGGTAGATTTTATTATTATTATTATTTTCTGTTTTATATTTCATTACATCATCGTCGTCGTTTACCTTCTGCGTGTGACCGTCGATCAATATATCGAATAATCAATCAAACAGTCTATGGAACAATGAAAAACAGTTGAAAAGAAACGAAAAACCGGTCGGTATTCGACGGATTGGTTCATTGGTTGAGTGATTGGTGGATTGTTTGGTTGATGGATGGATGGCTTACGACCCTCGAGAAAGGAGCGACCCCCACCCAATCAGTCAATCAATCAATCACTCACTCAATCATTTTGTCGACCAATCAATCAATCAATCTATCAGTCAATCAATCAATCAATCAATCAAATCACTCAACCGATCAAACAATCATTCAATCAATCAACGAATCAACGAATCAGTCAATCAATGAATTAAATAATCAATCAATGGATCAATCAATTAAGCAATCTTTCAACCGGTCAATCAATCAAACAATTTGCGAATAAATAAATAAATATGTGTGAATATCACACGAAAAAAAAAAAAAAAAGGTTCATACGAATCTTAACCCCACGAACATGTCCCGTCTTATTTCATTGATTTTCGATGTTTTTTAATGGGATAATTTGGGAAATACCCCTATAAGTTGGGATATATGCCAAAATGCCCCTAAAAGATGTGGGTAGAGCGGAATACCGCTCTGATACTAAAAATGTTTTGCAAAATGCCCTAGGCCTTGGTTGGACCTGCCATCTTTGTACGATACCCCTACCGGGTACTATCCATCTTTGCAAAATGTCCCGGTACTTGCCAACTTTCCCCAGGCCCTATGTATTTTCGTTTTACCCCTAGAAGCCCAGGTCATCTTTGTGTTTTGCCCCCTCACCAAGAGACAGACAGAGACATATACACACACACACACACACACACACACACACACACAGAGAGAGAGAGAGAGAGAGAGAGAGANTTTTTTCCCAATGAGACAGCTGTGGGAGTTGTGTGCTCCCCCACACAGTCTATAGACTTTTTTTTTTTTTTTTTTTTAACAAGTAATAATGCCGCTGGCATGAGCCAACGGTCACGGTTTCTCCTGCCACGCTTTGATGGCGCCCCTCCTTTCCTCCCAATATGCAGACCCGAGTTCAATTCCCATAGGGATCGAACAAAAACTGGGCCATTTCTCGATTTATGCGTGTCAACATTGCGCAGGGGCCATGCTAATCTGTGCGGCTGTTTTCAGCCGCACGATCTGAACAACCGGACGACCGAAAACGGCTGCGCTAAAAGTTCAGGGCTGCTCCAACAGGAGCTAGCCCAATGGTGATGTCATCGAGACTTGATCCCGGCATCCACAGGGCGAATGTTTGATGGCGGTACATACTGGGCTAACTCCTATCACGAAAGTTAAACCCGCAACTCTTCTATAAGAAGAGCTGCCCCCCCGTAGGCCCATCTGCTGCAGCCGAAGGAGGCTCGACTTGCCGTATTTCTCGTTAGCTAGCCGCATTGCCGCCGAGCCGACGGCGTCCTGGCCCAGCGGCTTGTGCTCTAGCCCATGAGCCTTAGCTGCGTACGCGGTACCACCGCGGCCCTTTAAAATAATAATAATAATAATAAAAATCCTTTCTAATTTTCTCGCGCCGCGGATCTAACCCCTGATGCGACCACCTTTTTGACCTACTAAACCCCGAATTGCGCGTCTTAACAGGCACGGGTCAGTCTTTAAGATAGAATAGTCTAGCCTTAGCCCCTGCAGCCCTATCAAGAACTGCTAACCCGCGTGCCCCTGCAGCCCTATCAAGAACTGCTAACCCGCCATACTGGCAACTAAATTCATTTCAGTCAGACGTCAACGACGTCTGATTCACAAAAAGTCTTAGTCACTTGGGTTGATCAGAATAAACTTTGGTAAACGTTAGTCTTATCAAGTCCTTCAATTCCACGAAAAAGTCAGACAGCGTCCGACATTGAAAACCCCGACAAATACCCTTGTCAAGGTATTTGCCCCGACAGCGTAACTTGAGCGAAGAAGGAAATAGAGAGAGAGAGAGAGAGAGAGAGAGAGAGAGAGAGAGAGAGAGAGAGAGAGAGAGTTTGCAGGAGGATTTTAGAGATGGTGACGCGGCATAGGAGGAGCTGGAGATGGGGAACCTTACCAAGGAGGACAATGAATGAAGCTGCTGAACACAGTGTGAGACAGGTAGAGACTTGGAACGAGTTTGAAAGTCTGAATCACGGAGGCAATTTGCCCTGCCGACGGACCAGGGTATTGCACAAAGTCGCCCATTCGGTACGGAGGGGAAACCGAGTAAAACAGGGTGAAGGCCCAGGCCCGAACGACGTGGTCCAGATTGCAAATTTGCACATGAGCATGACAGGGCCAAAACGCAAAGAATTAGGTCCAAAAGGGTATTCCGCTCTACCCACATCTTTTAGGGGCATTTTGGCATATATCTCAAAATATAGGGGTGTTTTGCAAATTATCCCTTTTTTCATTGATGTTAATTTTATTGTGTTTTGATGTTCCCTTTTACGGTTTTTGAGGTTTTTTTCAGGCTCCTTTGAAGATACTATGAATGCAATGGCAGGACCGATTACAATGTAGGTACACACACAAGCTTCCTATGCTCGTCACGTGTGACAACTTATAAGTAAGAGATAGATAGATAGATAGATAGATAGATAGATAGAGAGAGAGAGAGAGAGAGAGAGAGAGAGAGAGAGAGAGAGAGAGAGAGAGAGAGAGAGATTCATTGAAATTTGGCTCCGGTGGCGCCGGTGGCCCGGCGGTGGGGTCCGCTCTGGAAGAACCAAAAAGAACCGGCTTGGGCGGGCCCGCCCCTTGAGGAAAGGAGGAGTGATTTTGGATCCCGCTTGGGCCACAATAGCGGGAGTTCTACCAAAAAATGCCGGCCTTCCTTTTAGGAGCAGGGACGGTGCTGGCTTCTACCGATTTTGGCAAGTTCTTTTTCGCCGCGGGTCGCGGAACACCTGCCACGTACACGTTTGTTTTCAATCGCTGCCGAACTCGACGGGTGAGACCTACAAACTGGGAAAGGAGTCGGATCCCGTGAAAACCAGTAGACTACGCTCCGTAGCAGTGAACTTGGACGAGTTCCTCGGCTCAACCATAACTGGCTCATCATCGCATCCGCCTTCGTCCCTCTCCCTCTTACCGCCCTCATGCCCCTTCCTGTCTGTCTCGCTTGCCCACTTCCTCTTCCTTTCTTTTCGTTTAGTGTTAAATTTGGGATGTTTCGCTGTTTCTCGATTTATGCGTGTCATCCTGCGCAGGGGCGATGCTAATCTCTGTGTCGCTCCAATTTTAACGGATGTCCCGAAGGACCTTCTTCCTTCTCTCACTCTTTCGACGACACGGATGATAGGAAATCCACCGGACCGTGCTTCGAAGGGGGAAAGAGTGCATATCGGCAGCTGCTGTGCACGCGGGCGAAGTACGAGGGTTGTGGCTTCGCGGCCGCTCAGCCAGGACGCCGCACATGACAATGGAGTCGCAACAAAACGAGTCCGACGGTTGCTTGTCGGCCGGCCGGGCCATAGATGCTGACAAATCGCCACCTCAGGACCTCGGGGTGACTCTACCGGTAGTCAATCTCGGAAACGAAGCGTCTAACGTTGCCCTCCTTCCGGGTGACACTGTCTTAAAGGCGGAGGAAGAGTTGGGAGAGAATTCGGCCAGCGCAGCCATAGCAGCCATTGAGCGGGAGATAGAGGAGGTAGAGGAACACGGTGAGAGATCTGAGCAGAAGGGGCAGGAAGAGCGGGAAGACGTGAAGGAGGGAAAGGAAGCACAGAGTCTGACCATGTCGACAGGCTCGGGGGAGGTGGTAATGAATCTGACGTCAGTGGATTTCTTACCGTTGGCGTCAGCATTAAAGACTTTGGAGGCGTTCCGAGACTGGAGCCCGTCGACTACCGATCGCAGCTCCATTTTCAACGTGGCATCGACTCCGTTGAGGGTGGACTGGAGAAAGTATCATCGTTGTAGTGAGGATGTGAGCATTGACGCTATCAAGGTAGAGGAGGCGGACGACCGTACTTCGTTATCCTCTGCTGGATCTGCGCTTGCGCACCTTGGTCCTCCTCCTCCTCCTCCTCCTCCTCCTACCAGCGCGCCGACTCCTATTGGTGATGGTGTCGATGCTGCTTGTCATGAGTATGTTGCCGACGGTACTCGTTCTCCCGCCGATCTGAGGTCGAGGCAGAAGCAACGGCTGTTGGTGTGCCACGACATGATGGGCGGATATGTCCAAGACTCCCTTCTTCAGGGTGGTTCCGAGATGACTGTCTACAGAATCTGGCATTGGGAGTTAATAGACATCTTCGTCTACTTCAGTCATCATCTCGTGACTATCCCTCCTGCCACGTGGACGAACGCTGCGCACACGAATGGAGTGCAGGTAGGTCGAGGGACATACACATCCATCCCTGGCTACTTTTCTCCCTTCTTTTCCGTGGCAATGCCCCTGTTGTTCGCCTTTCCTCCTCCTCCTCCTCCTCGTCCTGTCCTCGTGCTTTCCTTCTCGCCTCTACCCCACCGTCCCCAGGCTCTCAGCCTGACAAGAAATTAAGAACCCAGCGAAGCCAAGGACGAGGCGAACAGTGACGGGTATCGTTCTAGGTTAAGTCTTCTCTTGCGCTTTTCGTTCGGTGTTGAAAACGTTGAAAAGAGAATCTGTACCTCGTCTGTCGTTAAATCTAAAGCTTCCCTGGTAAACTATGGACGATGCCTCTCCTCTCCTACGGAAAGAAGCTGGAAAGTTATTTGCCGTGATTATCTATTACGTGCTGTACTACGGGCTTTATTGTTTCTCATTCCTCTCTCTCTCTCTCTCTCTCTCTCTCTCTCTCTCTCTCTCTCTCTCTCTCTCTCTCTCTCTCTGTCTGTGTCTGTGTGTGTGTGTGTGTGTGTGTGTGTGTGTGTGTGTGTGTGTGTGTGTGTGTGTGTGTGTGTGTGTGTGTAAACTTCGGGCCAGCTATCATGGCCAGCCTTTCTTGCATTACCTTGCAGGCCTTCACTCCCCACGTTCTTTACGGCAGTCGTCAATTTTCTGGTTGCCTGCTGTCGTTTCTGCTTTCGTCTCCCCCTCGCTTTCGTGCTCAGGTATGTGGAAAGGCAGACCGCTCACTCGCTCGTACCGAATGACGAGCGACGTCGCGCGCGCTTGTTCGTAGGATCCCTGCATGATCGCAACTCGTGCGTCCTTTCCCGCGCTTGTCCCCGCCGTGTATCTTCTTTTGTGCGCCCTCCCGCGCGCAGCGCTTCTCCACTTTATGCGTCTGTTCTTTGGTTGTCATCCCCTCAGGCTTGCCGATGTGTGTTCATCCCACCATGCTCCTCCTTTTTCAAAGTTTCCACCTCATGAACTGCTCTTCCTTGTCAACGAAAAGATGTCATCAGCGAACAGCCGATCCCTCTCTCTACTGTTATCCTCCCATCTCCTTCTCGACGAGTCGATTGTGCTTCTCGGGTTCCTCCTACGCTATTATTTTCTTCTCCTCTGTAACCGAAAAGTTGGTGGCGACTCGAATCTCATCCCGCAATGGTGCATCGGAGCTGCGCATGGGAATTTGCAGCATATCTTGGCCTTCGCATTCATTATGGGAATTTGCAGCATTGAAGTGGATATCTTGGCCTTCGCATTAATTAGTCCGGCTAAAAGTCTCCGGCAACTGTTGGGTGTACAGAGCAGGAGCAACAAACCATATCCTAAAGAAGAGACAGCCCTGGTCGCCCAGCTGATGGGCTCTTTTTTTTGGGGGGGAGGAGAAGTGAGGAACTATATGTCAATAATAATTGTCACTCTATTATCTAAATTGTGACGGATGGCGGTCTGTCAGGATAGAGACGAAGGGTTGAAGGGGGAGGAGCTGGAGCTGGAGCTGGAGCTGGAAGGGACAGCGCAGCTCCGAAGCGGACTCAACACGCACGTACTCCAAAAGTGCAGAATGAAGAATAATCCAAAAGACAGACTGCAGCTGGGGTATACCCCCAGCGGACTGACTGGACTGGACTGGACTGGGCTGGT